CTCGGAAGCAAGATGATGATGCCGAGTTCGACCGTTGGCCACTGAAGATGACCATTGAAGCCACAGGCGGATTTAGGGGGGGAGGGGGGAGAGTTAGATAGCAATTGTTTTACTGTACAAAAGTCTACTCGGTACCCCCTGTCGCCCCTCCCCGCGCCCCTCTTCAGGAGACCCCCCTGGGCACGCCTATGACTGACAAATTTATCGCAAAAGAGGCTAGTTGTCTCACTCATTAATGAAGTGGACGTTCAACCTTCAGCCACTCTACTGCATCAATGCCCGCCAGCAATTGATCATCGGTTGCCTTTGGATGAGGAGGAGAATGAGGAGGTCACTTTTCTGGATTTTCCTCGGAGCTCTGCTCTGCCGTTTTTACGCCGAATTCTAATTTTGGCTTTTGCATTCTCTACGCTAACGGGCATCGCTCCCTCTCTCTGTTTCGTTTGTTCAATTCAGGATTTTATCTCGTAAACTGCCAAATTTTAAAATTTTATCCACTTATTACCGCTATCATTATTATTATCAAAATTATTATTGCCATCGTCATTATTATTGTTATTATCGTCATCATTATTACTATTATCATCACTGTCATTATTATTATCATTATTGTTATTATTATCGTCATTATTATCATTATCATCATTAATGCCTTAGGTTTTCTTAATAAAGGAATGAGAGGCGGGGGTGAGGAGAACGTCGGGAAGGGAGGGGGGAAGGAGGACTTACGTTGTAAACTCTACCTCATACCCTCCCAACACTTTCACTCGTTCAAGATCAAGCTTCTGTTTTGAACTATATAGTTTCTTGGCATAATTTTTTCCTCATTCATGTAGCTAATAGCAGCTTCTCCTGACCGTGATCATCTTTGTTGCGATCTAGGCCTTTGGTTTTGTTTCTTGAAGAAATTACGGTTGATGTAAAAAAAAATCCGGGTTTCTTTTAGCGTTCGAATTCCAGCATTAAAAGAAGCTCCAAAAATTGTGTAGTTAGAAATTTGGAAAATTGGGAAACATAAATTACAAGATGTTTCATCAGGAAGATTTGCTGCAATCCGACTTTTCAAACTCCAGTGTTGCTTTTTAAGTTTTTTTTTAATAAATTAAAACCGTTCTATACATTTAGTCATTGCTTCTCTTTTCCTCTGTTCCTATACTTCTCATTCTTCAGGATAACATTTTCTGTTATGGTCTCTGCTTACTTAAATATGCTTCATTCTTACATGATGGGTAGGGGAGAGGCTGTACTGAAGATTTCCACTTCTACTCGCATCTAACATTCTTTCTGTGTTTACAGCTAAGGGATGAAAATGAGACTGCAAATTTACCAGATCTTTCTTCCACGTGTAAATTCTCAACTAACGTATTTTATATTTGATATCCAGTGGCATTACTAATTTCGCTTATAGCGCTTTTTGAGTCTCAACGTGACTTATTCGTTTTAATAACAATAAATGAACAATTTTTTTAGCTTTCCCGATTGGAGTACACGCATATTTGCCGGGTCTTTCGAATCGAGCTGCTAATCCGAAAATGGCAACTAGAGGTAGAGGTAGAAAAGGCCAGGACACAAAGCTTCCGATTAAAGTGAAAGAGCTGCAGGAAGCAAAAAATATCGAGGACCCAAAGCTGACTTTATCGAGAACACGAACGGGGCTTGCCGATCTGAGCAACGTTCAAATTTTTTTTTTTTTTTTTTTTTTTGCATTATTTCTTTTAGTAAATCCAGAATTCAATCTTAGAAGCAAAAAATTTTGATTTTTCGCATCATGTATTACTAGCAGAAAAGGCATGACGACGTAGCACTGGGCCGCAAAAGTTGCCAGCTGATACTGAGGTGAAATGAGATCGAATGGGATTGATTGGATTTACACAAAAATTCCACGTAGTTTCTGTGTGCTGGAGATCCAAACTATGAATTAATCTAAGTATCCAGAG